CCCCTCCCACAAATCCAGGGCCTTGTTCCCTCTCCACAAATCCAGGTTCTTGTTCCCTCTCCACAAACCCAGGGCCTTGTTCCCTTCCCATAAATCCAGGTCCTTGTTCCCACAGATCCAGGTCCCCTCCCGCTCTGGGAGCACTCACTGCGTAGGGGGATGATCCATGGACGTGCTCCAGGGAATACTGGCGGCTGTACTTGGGCATGGAATGTGCTGAACTGCTGTCGTTCAACATCAGGGGGCTGCGGGAATTCCCAAGAAACACCGGAGTTACACACTGGATCCCAGGGATCGGGAACATCTCATCCCATCCCGTCCCATCCCACCCCATCCCACCCCACAGAGCCCTTCCCGGGGACAAGGGACAGCTGTGCCAGGTCTGGGTGAATCCAGAGGGGCAGGAGGAGACCGGGATGGGCCACAGGGAACCAGGACAGGGATCCTGGAGAAGGGAAAACCCAGGGAGAGACCTTGGAGCCCCTTCCAGGGCCTGAAGGGGTTCCAGGAGAGCTGGAGAGGGACTGGGGACAAGGGCTGGAGGGACAGCACACAGGGAATGGCTTCCCAGGGTTAGATGGGATATTGGGAAGGAATTCCTGGCTGGGAGGGTGGGGAGGGGCTGGGCTGGAATTCCCAGAGAAGCTGTGGCTGCCCCATCCCTGGAAATGTCCCAGGCCAGGCTGGATCACCCTGGGATATGGGAAGGTGTCCCTGCCCATGGCAGGGGGTGGCACTGACTGGGAATTCAGGTCCCTTCCCACCCAAACCACCCCGTGATTCCCTGATTCCAGGATTCCCTGAGATTGGGGAGCACAGGGAGCCCCCGGGGCTGCGCTTTGCCGAGCGGGAATGTGAATCCCGGGAATGTGAATCCTGAGGCCTGGGAGGGCTTTTCTCAGCCCCTGGTCTCCCCCTCGTGTTGTGCCGGAGCTGTGCCTGCTTCCCTGTGACATTCCCACTGCTCCAGGCACGGGGGGATCATCCCATCCATCTTTTCCAGAGGCTGAGGGCTCTGGAGGAGCCGTTTGTCCTCCCCAGATCCATCATTTCCACCTCCCCCCTGCTCATTAACGCTAATTAAGCCGCTGCCAGATGGTGCCCAGAGCCAGCCCTGCCATTCCACAGGAACCCCGGGATGAGCCGGGAGCGGGAACACGGATGGGATCCAGCGCCTTGCATGGGAACCGCCGGGAAAAACCAGGGGGAGGGGGAGGAATCCACCTCCAAAATCCCAGGATTCCCAGTCCTGCCCCCTGCGAGGCTCCCGGGGATCTGGGGGATCCCAACTCTGCCTTTGTCCCCCTGGAATTTTTCCGTGGATGTGGGAATGCAGACTCACATCTTCCTCTTGACCCCGAGAATTCGGTTGGATTGCACCAAGGAAATCAGGAACTGGATGAGCTGCGGGGGGGAAAAGAGGGAAAAGCTGTGAGGGGGGGCTGGGAAAAGGGGGAGAAGGAGCTGAGGGAGGAGGGAAACAGGGAAAAACTGGGGAGGAAAAGCTCCAGGAGGAGAAAAACAGGGAAAACAAGGAGAGAAAGAGCGCTGGGAGGAGGAAAACAGGGAAAAACTGGAGAGAAAGAGCTCTGGGA